AACTGTCTGGTATTTATATAGTTAAACCAGCAACTGGGAAAGAGGGAGGAGCATAAGGATAGCCCGGGAGAAAGAAACCGGAAGTAAATCACATCTTCCAAGTTGATTGGAAGATGTGAACCATGACCCTACAATAAGGGAGTGGGAAATGCTTGGAATGTATATGCGTAACGGAAGAGAAGCAGACCTAAGCATTTCCTCCATGCTGTACTGATGTCTCTGTAACCTTAATAAATGCTTTTAGGAGAAAATATGCCTGAAAGTCCTTTTAAGTGTTTCGTTAATCAGACACATGACATCATGCTTAGGTCCAATCTCATTCTAAAACAATATGGGGTCCCGAACCCCATCCACTGCCTCGAAGTTTGAGAGGTACTGGTAAAGATTCGGGGAAGATTTGACATGCAGGAGAAGAAATTGTCTGAGACCAGCCTCCTCCTAGCTGCAGCAGTTTCCCCGGGGGGGGAAAGTGACAGCCGGCAAGCCGGGGGAGAGAGGAATCTGGCAGATTTCCCAGCTGGGAGCGAGGCCAGACTGCGATAAGCCGTGCAAAGGCTCTGGAGGAAGCCACACAGCCTTGCCAGAAAAAATGGTGAGTCACAGTCCTGAAGACGGAGGAAATCCCAAATTGAGGCCTTTCCAGCAATGGGCAGTGTGGCTTAATCAGCACCAACTGAGCTTACCACAGCTAATAGAGGCCTTACGGCAGCTTGAAGTGAGGCAACAGCCAGAACTACAGCCGGTCAGCTTGCAGATGGGGGAGGCCCAGCATGTCCAGCAATCATTGAGGGGCCTACAACAGCAGAGGGCATCACCACCCCCTGCAGTCCAACAGCAGAATACACCACTACAAACCCCATTTGCACAGTCACCATTGGGAGGCCTGCAGCAGCAGGGGGCACTATCAGCCTCCACTGCCCAGCAGCAGAGAGCCCACCAACCATGGGATTGGCAGGCAGGAAGGGGCCAACTGCAACTGGGGGCACCACATCAACAGCAGGGAGCCCAGCAGCCATGGGACCAACAACCGGAATGGGGCCAGCAGCAACAGCCCCAGTGGGGACCGCAACAGCCTGTTTTTGCACCACCCTTCAATGCAACCTTCAATGGAGACCCAGAGAAGCTGATTTTTTTTCTCAACCAAGGGTGCTCTCACTTGAACCGCTGGGCCTACCACTATCCGGACCCAGGTGCCATGGTCGACGTATTTGCATCCAACCTAGAGGGAGAAGCAGCTGAATGGCTGAATAATTTATATAGTGAGCAAGCCCCCGAATTGGAAGATCCCCACCTTTTCCTCTTAGGTCTGAAAGAACAATTTGAGGACCCATCCATAGGCCTCAAAGCAGCAAGACAAATTCACAAAATAAAACAAGCCAGAAGGCCTGCCCTGGAGTACGTGCAAGAGTTCCGCAAGTTAGCAGGCCGAACAGAGGGGTGATCCGAACAATCCCTGGTTCAATACTTTGTTGAGGGATTGGACGATCACCTCTCTCAGGCTTGCATCTATCGAGAAGTACCCGATCGGCTACAGGAGTGGTACCAGACAGCAGTGAAGCTAGACGTTAAGCTCTCTCGCTATAAGAAGCCTCCCCCATACGAACCCGAGCAGCAACCAGAGCTACCCGGACAGCAATCACCCCCACGAAAGCCCTCAACTACGGCAATGGCTGAAAGACCCAGGCCACCAACACGCCCTTCCTTTAAGTGCTTCTGGTGTGGACAAGAAGGACATCGAGCGGCCACCTGCCAAATCCCCTACCCCCGACGGCTGAGCAGACCAGAACCAGCAATGCGAAAGAAACCTGCTCAGCGGCTAACGAGAGAAAAATCCAACCGGCTCACGCAGGAACCTGTAGCCCAGATTACACCCCCCACACAGGAGGACGCTGGGACTCCGGTTGGACCCGCCCCTGCTCTACCCTCCTTTGACAGCGACGATGAAGGAGAGAACGACCCGATGGTGAGTCAACAAATCCCGCCTTTTTCACTGGCCGCCAAGCTTATAATCCCTAAGACTGGGGCACAAATGGACTTAAATGTGCTAATTGATACTGGATGCACCCGCTGCATTATTAGTCGGCAGTTTGCAATGAGAATGGGCATACGGGCAAAATAGCTTTCCAAACCGGTGAGGTTTGAGCAAGCCAATGGCTCCCTGATGGGAGGGACTCTTGTCACACAATTAACTGAGCCCTTACGCCTAGAAATAGGTGCACACTAGGAATTTATTCGTTTCCTGGTGGCTCCAAAAATGACTGAGACTGTAATTCTAGGGTTAGCCTGGTTAGACAAATGGAAACCTTTCGTCTGGTGGGAGAAAGGAATGAGAACCATGAGACTACCAATAGGGCCTAATCCCCCTCCTGAGTCAACGGATGTTGCAGGGCACCTTAGGCCACCCAATGAGC